AACAATATGGGCAATTTAGCTTGGCCAATCCACCTAGTCTGCACATCTTTGGACTGTGGGAGGAAACCGGAGCACCCAGAGGAAAACCACGCAGACACAGAGAGAACGTGCAAACTCCACACAGTCGCCCGAGGGTGGAATCGAACCCGGGTCCCTGGCCCTGTGAGGCAGCAGTGCTAACCACTGAGCCACCTTGTCGAAATTGTGGAGATGCCTAACTGAAATATTTGTATCATTGTACAAACATGGGTGAAGAACAGGGGGATTTGTGGGTGGCTGATGATGAAAGAAAGGCCTTAAGGAGAAGCCTGGAAACTGTAGACCGGCGAGTCTGACATCGATGGTGGGTAAGTTGTTGGAGGTGATTTACATGCATTTGGAGAGACAAGGTTCGATTAGGGATAGTCAGAATGGTTTTGTGTTAGGGAAATCATGTCTCTCAAACTTGATTTGAATTTTTCTAATGAAGTAACAAAAAAAGATTGAGGACAGAATGGTAGACTTTGTCTACATGGACTTCAGTAAAGCCTTTGACAAGGTTCCAAATGGGAGTCTAATTAGTAAAGTTAGATCATATGGGATTCCAGGTGAACTTGCCAATTGGATACAAAATCGGAGACAGAGGGTAATTGTACAGGGAAAATTTCACACTAGAAGCCTATGACCCAGTGGTAGAGTAGAATAGAATCCCTACAGTGTGGAAACAGGCCCTTCGACCCAACAAGTCCACACTGACCGTCCCACCCAGACCGATCCCCCGATAACCCAAATAACCTACACATCCCTGAACACTATGGGCAGTTAAGTATGGCCAATTCACCTAACCTGCATATCTTTGGACTGTGGGAGGAAACCAGAGCACCCGGAGGACACCCATGCAGACACGGGGAGAATGTGCAAATCCCACTCAGACAGTCGCCCAAGGGTGGAATCGAACCCGGGTCCCTGGTGCTGTGAGGCAGCAATGCTAACCAATGAGCCACCGTGCTGCCCTGGTTCCACAAGGGATCAGTACTGGGTCTGCTTTTGTTTGTCATTTATATAAATGATTAGGATGAGACTATAGCAGGCATGGTTAGTAAGTTTGCAGATGACACCAAAATTGGTGGTGTAGTGGACAGTGAAGAAGGTTATCTGAGATCTTGATCAATTGGGTCAATGGGCTGAAGAGCGGCAGATGGAGTTTAATTTGGATAAATGTGGGGTGTTGAATTTGGTAAAACAAATGGCAGGACCCTGGATAGCGCTGTAGAACAGAGAGACCTAGGGGTTCAGGTACATAATTCTTTGAAATTTGTCAGGTTGGTTCAGAAGGCATTTAGCACGCTTGCCTTCATTGCTTAGACCTTTGAGTTTAGGAGTTGGGATGTTATTTTTGAGGTTGTGTAGAATGTTGGTGAGATCTCTTCTGGAGTACTGCTCCAGGTCTGGTCACCCTGTTGTAAGAAGGATATTATTAAACTAGAAAGGGTTCAGAAAAGACAGGAATTTGTCTGGAATGGAGGGTTTGAGATATAAAAATAGACTGGAAAGGCTGGGACCTTTTTTCACTGGAGTGTAGGAGTTGAGGGGTGACCTTATGGAGGTTTATAAAATCATGAGGGACATTGATAAGGTGAATGACAAGGGTCTTTCCTGAGGGTGGGTGACTTCAAAACTAAGGTGAGAGGAGAGAAATTTAAAAACGACATGAGAGATAATGTTTTTACACAGAGGGTGGTTCACATGTGGAATGAACTTCCAGAGGAAGTGGTAGATGTGGGTACAGTTACGATGTTTAAAAGACATTTGGACAAGTTCACAAATAGGAAAGGTTTGGAGGGATAGGGGCCAGGTGCAGGCAAGTGGGACCAGTTCAGTTTGGGAACATGGTTGGCGTGGACTGGTTGGACTGAAGGGTCTGTTTCCGTGCTGTACAATTCTATAACTACATCCAGTGTTCTGAAGGAGATTGATGAGATCGTAGAGGCATTGGTGATGATATTTCAGGAATCACTGGAGTCAGGATAGTCCCAGAGGACTGAAAAGTGGCTAATGTAACACCTTTTGTTTAAGAATGGAGGGAAGCAGAGGACAGGAAGCTATAGGCTGGTTATCCTCAGTCACTGGTAAGATTTCAGAGTGCATTATTAAGGATGAGATTGCAGAGTACTTGGACGTGCATGGTAAAATAGGGCTGGGTCAGCTTTGTCAAGGGGAGGTTATGCCTGACAAATCTTCTTTGACAAGGTAATGAGCAAGTTAGACAAAGGAGAGCCAGTGGACATGATCTATTTGGACTTCCAGAAAGCCTTTGATAAGGTGCCGCAAAATAGGCTGCTAAATAACATTAGAGCCCACGGTGTTTGGGACAAGGTACTGGCATGGACAGAGGACTGGCTGACTGGTAGGAGGCAGAAAGTAGGGATAAAGGTGTCTTTTTCAGGATGGCAGCCAGTGACTAGTGGAGGTCCGCAGGGGTCAGCGATGGGACCACAACTATTCACGTTATACATTAACAATCTGGACGAAGGAACTGAGAGCATTGTTGCTAAGTTTACAGATGACACACAGATAGCTGGAGGGACAGAGGGTTAAGGAGGTGGGGAGACTGCAGAAGGACTTGGACGGACTGGAAGAGAGAAAAGAAGTGGACAATTGAAGACAATGTACAAAATGTAAGGTTATACGTTTCTGTCGGTGAAAAAGAGGCATAGACTATTTTCTAAATGGGGAAAAGGCTTCAGAAGTCTGAAGCATAAAGGGACTTGGGAATCCCAGTTGCAGGTTCAGTTGGCAATCAGGAAGGCAAATGCCATGTTAGCCTTCATTATAAGAGGGCGAGAATACAAGAGCAGATACAAGAGCTGAGGCTGTATAAGGCTGTGGTCAGACCATATTTAGAATATTGTGAGCAGTTTTGGGCCCTGTATCTAAGGAAGGATGCGCTGGCATTGGAGGGAATCCATAGGTGTTTACAAGAGCGATCCTGGGGATGAAGGGCTTGTCATTTGAGGAGTAGTTGAGGACTCTGGGTCTGTACTCGGTGGAATTTAGAACAATGAGGAGGGGATCTGACTGAAACTTTCAGGATACTGACAGGCCGAGATAGAGCCGTCGAAGGGAAGATGTTTCCACCAGTAGGAGAGACTAGGACCCAGGGGTGAAACCTCAGAGTAAAGGACAACCCTTTAGAACTGAGATGAGGAGGAATTTCTTCAGCCAGAAGGTGGTGAATGTGTAGTCATTGTGTGTATTTAAGAGTGAGATAGATAGGTTCTTGATTGGTAAGGGGATCAAGGGCTATGGGAAGAAGGCAGGAGAATGGAGCTGAAAAACAGATCAGCCATGATCAAATAGTGGAGCAGTCCTGATGGGCTGAATGGCCTAATTCTGCGCCATAATATCTGGCTAATATTTAGCGAGTAAATTACATAAATAAGATTGGATAATATGGACATGCTTAAAAGATAAATAGCCATGATATTTCACCTTTCAGAAAACTATCAGAGTGACTTACAAGGCTGTTACGTGCCACAAAACAATTTGTGTGAACAGGCCAGGATAAAATAAAACGTCTTTGGCTGTTCATGATAATACAAAGGATGAGTAACCTTGCAGACTCGATCCAAAATATTAGCTCCAACGTGGGAAGAGAAGAATTTTATCACGGGTAATGACATTACCATTAACATCTCGTGCTTCAAGTAATTCCAGGGTAAGGTGGAGTATGTGACCTTTACACTGTATCCTCAGGTCACAAACTGTGATGCAATGATGGTGCACTGACATTCTGACTCTGAGAGACAACATTCAATGGGACAGAATGTTAATATCTTATCACTTAGCCTGCTTTAAGTTGTAGGTCATGGACTGTAACAGTTCAAGAAGGCAGCTCATCACCACCTTCTCAAGGGCAACTAGGGACAGGCAATAAATGTTGGACTCAGCCATGGTTTCTCACATCCCATAAGGGAATAAAGCAACAAATTCTTATTGCTCCAAAAACAATATGGTCTTAAACAGCTTTAAAAAAAATGCAGCTTTTTTTCTCCCAGTTTGCAGAACTGCTCTGGTATATCAGCTCTGTACCAGCATCCAACTTCCATTCCCAGTTACAGTACAAAAAGGAAAACCATGTGATCCTTTTACGCTTATCAAATCAAAACGAAAATCTAGATCGAACCTGGAGAAATTACCCCTCCATGTCAAAGTTTTAATTTCAACTTGACTGATTCTCCCCAGGTCTTTGCTGTGAACTTTGAAGTCTGTTCACACGAATACTCCGAAAACTGAGAGCTTAAACATTCTTGGCTTTTAATAATCTACAGACATCAAAGCAAGTGGTCCCGAGTCGGAAATTTCACAGGCTAAAATTTTCTATTGAGGTAATTGTGCAGAGTAAAAATGAAGGGAGGGTGTAGGGGATGGAGATTTACAGCCTTTGGGGACAAAAAACAAAAAGAATATTCCACAAAGACTATAAGACATACGAGTAGAAGTAGGTCATTCAGCCCAAAGAGTCTGCTCCACTATTCAATGAGATCATGGATATCTGATCATTCTCAACTCCCACTTTCCTGCCTTTTCCCCATAAAGCTTGATCCCCTTCCTGATTTACAATCTCTCCCTACCTCAGTCTTGAATATCCTCAATGACCCAGCCTCAACAGCCCCCTCTGCAGTAAAGAATTCCACAGATTCACTCCCCCCTCGGAGAGAGAAGAAATTCCTCCCCATCTCCGTCTTCAATGAGCGACCCCCTCGCTCTGAGATTATGTCCCTCTGGGTCCTAGACTCTCCCACACATAGGGTAATAACCCCTCCACACCTCCCCTGTCAGGTCCCCCCTAAGAATCTTGTATATTTCAATAAGGTCGCCTCTCGTTCTTCTAAATCCCAATGAGTACAGGCCCGACCGACTCACCCTCTCCTGATCAGACAGTTCCTCTGTACCCAGGATCAGCCGAGTGAACCTTCTCTGGACTGCCTGCAATGTCTTTATATCTTTACTTAAATAAGGGGCCCAAAACCGTTTACAGTCTTCCAGCTGTAGTCTGAATAGCATTGTGCTTGGATAAAAACTCTACTTTTACACTAGAATTGTATTTTCTGAATGACTATCATGTGCCAATATTGATGATACTTGTAATCTCCTTTTACAGTATATTCGATGGGGAGGATTCGAAGACAGAAATTTCAAACTAAACGCCATTTCGAGGCCCGACCGCTTCACTGGGACCTGAATATCATCAACATCTGAATCGAGAAGAAGTGCTTGACCGTTCTGTCTGCTTCAGAAGATTTTAAACGTCGGTGAAACTGGGAAAGCGTCAAGCCCCACACACACACACCCCGAGTAAGAGTGTGTTCCGGTGAACTGACTGTGGAGACAGCTTTAACCAGTTGCACAGACTGGAGACGTCTCGCAACATTCCCAATCTGGAGAGATTGTACAGGTGTCCTATCTGTGAACTAGCCTTCATCTGATTGTCAAGCCCAGGGAGAGACGAGGATATCAACACGATGGAGAAAAGGTGGAAATGCGGGGACTGTGGGAAAGGATTTTGTTCCCCGTCTGCCCTCGAGACCCATCGGCGCATTCATACAGGGGAGAGGCCATTCACATGCTCTGTCTGCGGGAAGGGGTTTGCTCACTCATCTGCCCTGCTGACCCATCAGCGGGTTCACACTCGGGAGAAACCCTACACGTGCCGGGATTGTGGGAAGGGATTTACTGATTCGTCTGCCCTGCTGACGCACCAGCGCATTCACACCGGGGAGAAGCCATTCACCTGCTCCGTGTGCGGGAAGGACTTCAGCCAGTCGTCCAACCTGCAGATGCACCAGAGAGTTCACACCAGGGAGAGGCCCTTCATCTGCTCTGTGTGCGGGAAGGGCTTCACTCATTCGTCCGCCCTGCTGACCCACCAGCGGGTTCACACGGGCGAGAGGCCGTTCACCTGCTCAGTGTGCGGGAAGGGATTCAGTGACTCGTCTGCCCTGCTGACCCACAAGCGGGTCCACACGGGGGAGAGGCCGTTCACCTGCTCGGTGTGTGGGAAGGGGTTCACCCAGTCGTCCAACCTGCTGACCCACCAGCGGGTCCACACTGGGGAGAGACAGTTCACCTGCTCGGTGTGCGGCAAGGGGTTCGGTGACTCGTCCAACCTGCTGAGGCACCAGCGGGTCCACACCGGGGAGAGGCCGTTCACCTGCTCCGAGTGCGGGAAGAGCTTCACTCACTCGTCCAGCCTGCGCACACACCAGCGAGTACACACCGGGGAGAGGCCGTTCAATTGCCTTGAGTGCGGGAAGGGCTTCACTCAGATATCCAACCTGCTGAGACACCAGCAACTTCACAAGTGAACCTGGTTCAGCCAGGAACGAACCATGTCTGTTCTGACAGTGGGTGCAGCAGGAAGGGACGGAGGGTCCCCCTTTTCTACTGGATGGGCCTCTCTCACCCACTTCGCTTCCAGTGGGGCTGATGCTCTTTCAGTCTGCAACGTTTCCACCGAAATGACCGACAAAAATTGATGAAAGATGTTTATTCTGTCCTGGATGGTAAATAGTGTTTGACTCACCACTACAGGTTGCTCTAAAATAAATGCATTAGGCACTGTCCCATTGAGTCTCCAGCACAGGGCCGGGCTGCATATGCCCCACTCAGCGTATTCCTTCTCCCTCATGTCTGTATCCAGCTTCCCCTCAACCACTCGCTGTGAAGCGAGTCCCACTTTATCACCACTGCCTGGGTAAAGACGGTTCTCGTGAAGTCCCTGTTACAAATTGGGGGATAAAAATATACTAGCAGCAAGAGGGTGCCATGTGGCCCCTCGAGCCTGTTCCGCTGTTCAATGAGAGCGTGTCTGCTCTAATTGTCACCACCTCCACATTTTCCTCAACTGCTGCTAATGTTTGACGTTTGTGTTAGTTGAGACTCTGCCTACCTCAGCCTTTAGAATACCCAATGTCTGCGCTTCTCAGGTTGTACGACCCTCTGAGGGACAAGAAGTTGTCTCATCTTTGTAATAAATATGGTTAACCCGTGTCTCCTTGTTCTCACCTGTCTCAGAAAGGGAAACGTTCTTTCACCCCGTTGAGTTCCACCTAATATTTGTGTGTCTCAATAACATCATGTCTTAATCTGCTAATCTCCAGTGGATACAGGCCCAGCCTTACCAACCTTTCCTCGTAAGATCCCACAAGCCAATAAAAAGAAAAACCTCCCTTAATCCCAGGTATCAGTTGAGTGGCCCTTCTCTAAACTCTTTCTAACGCCCTGATGTGGAGGTGCTGGTGTTGGATTAGGGTGGACAAAGTCATAAGTCACATGACAGCAGGTTATAGTCCAGCAAGTTTATTTGAAATTCCAAGATTTTGGAGCGCAGCCCCTTCGTCAGGTGAAGTAGCAGCGTTCCGAAAGCTTGTGATTTCAGATAAACCTGTTGGACTATAACCTGGTGTTATGTGACTTCTGACTCTTTTCTAATGCAGTTATATCCCTTCCTAAATAAGGAACAAAAGTGTACACCATGCTTCAGATGTGGCACTGTCAACACCCCTATACAGCTGTAGTGACACACTTAAGGTGAAAGGCCGGAGGTTTAGAGGAGATTGGAGGATGTTCTCACCCAGAGGGTGGTGGGGGTCTGGAATGCACTGCCTGGGCGGGTAATTGAGGTGGGAAACCTCGCAACTTTCAAAAAGTACTTTGGATGAGCACTTGAAGTGTCATAACATTCAAAGGCTAGCGTGAGAGGGTGGGTGGGACTAGTGTAGGTTTAGTGCAGTTTTGCCAGTAAAAACTCAATGGGCCGAAGGGCCTCTCCTGTAGTGTATGATTCTACGATCCCTACTTTTCTATTCCAATCCCATTTGCTGCCTTAATTACTTGCTGCAATTATGTACCTACTTAGTGATTTACGTACCAGGTCACCCTCCAGATTCTGCAGTCTGTCTGTTTAAATAACATGCATTCTTCCTGCTGAGGTGAGCAGGTACACACTTTCCCAAGTTTACAAGCTGCCTCAATTTTGCCCGTTTAACCTATCTGTAACACTTTATACACCTTATACATATCTTATGTTCTCTTCACAACTTACTCTCCACTCTGTATTTTTTGTCATCAGCAAATTTGGCAACCATACCTTCAGATTTTTCATCCAGGTCGCTGATATAAATAATAAATAGCTGAAGCCCCTGTGCTGATCCCTGAGGCATTTCTCTCATCACATCTTGCCGACTCTCAAATGATCCATTTATGCCAGCTCTGTTTCCTGTTAGCTTAACAACCCTGTATTGACACTATTATGTCACTTGTATATGATGAGCTTGACATTGTACAGGACGTTGGTGAGGCCTGTTCTGGAGCACTGTGTCCAGTTCTGGTCTCCCTGCCATAGGAAGGATGTTATTAAACTGGAGAAGGGAGAGCTTGCATTCTCAGGAGAGGCTGGAAAGGCTGGGACTATTTTCACTGGAGCGTAGGAGGTGACCTTAGAGGTTTATAAAATAATGAGAATAGATAAGGTGAATGGCAGGTGTCTCTACCCTAGGGTGGGGGATTTCAAGACTCGCGGACGTGCTTTTATGGTGAGAGGAGAGAGATTTTAAAAAAAGATACGAGGGGCATTTTTTTTTAGCACAGTGGTTGGGGTGTGGAATGAACTTCTAGAGGAAGTGGTGGATGTGGGTACAATTGCAATGTTGAAAAGACATTTGGATACATCCATAAATGGGAAAAGTTTGGAGGGATATGGGCCAGGAGCAGGCAGGTGGGACTACTTTAGTTTGGATTTTAGTTGGCATGGACTGGTTGCACCGAAGGTTCAGTTTTCATGCTGTACGTCTCTGAGCTCTGTTGGATAGTGATCTTGGATGTGCACTATGTCATACAGCTTCTGGATTTTCAGTACAGTACATCTATGAATTCCCCTCTAACCTCGTTGCTTACTTTTTTAAAAAACAACTCCACTAAGTCAAATATGATTTCCCTTTCTCAAAACCGTCTGACTCTGCCTGTTTGCATTAAATTCTTCTAAATATCCCGCTATACCTTACGGAGTGAACACAGCATTTTTGCTGTCATAGATGGCCAGCCTACAGATTGCTACTTTCCTGTTTCTGCACTTGCTTGAATAGAGGAGTCACATTAACTGCTTTACAATCTGATGGGTCCGTTGCCAAGCCCAGAAAGTTTTAGAAAGTTAAAACTAATGCGGCTACTGTTTTAGCAGATACTCTTCGAAGACACTGGGATGAATTTGTTGGGTGATTGCATAAATCCTAGAAAGATCTCATCACGTTCTAGTATAAAGGTCTTTGCTTCACGTCCAGTACTTTCAGTGCAATGGACTCAGCGCAGCCGTTTGTAGTGGTGCAGACATGTATTTTCGCCATACCATCAGTAAGTGTAGAACCCAGACTATGTGCAAGCCTGAGGTGTTATAAACTGTATAAATAGCTAGTGTGACTAAACCTCAATACATCTATTCTCGCCAAGAGCTCAGCTTACACATATATATGTGAGAAGAGCTAATATGTGGGGACTGCCATACAGGCTGCCAAGTTTGACCAAAGAAACCACATTGTGGTGGCTTGCAAGCATGTCAAAGAAATCAGACCTATCCTCAACTGCACAACTTTACAGACCCAGGCAGCTCACCGCCACCTTCACAAGGGCAACTCGGGATGGGCAATGGGAACAGGAGTAGGCCATTCAGCCCCTCGAGCCTGTTCCGCCACTCAATGAGATCATGGCTGATCTGTGGCCTAACTCCATATACCTGCCTTTGGCCCGTATCCCTCAATACTTTTGCTTAGCAAAAAATGATCTCTCTCAGATTTAAAACCAACAACTGATCCAGCGTCCACTGCCATTTGTGGAAGAGAGTTCTACACCTCCACCACCCTTTGTGTGTAGATGCGCTTCCTAACGTCACTCCTGAACAGTCTGGCCCCAACTCTCAAATAATGCCCCTAGTTCTAGAATCCCCAACTGTATAAATAGTTGATCTTTATCCAGCCTGTCTTTTCCTGTTGATACCTTGAAGACTCCAATCAGATCACCCCTTAGCCTTCTAAATTCCACGAGAAAACAGGCCTAACTTGTGTAATCTCTCTTCATAGCTTGACCCCTGCCATTCAATAAATGCTGAGCCCAGCCAGTGATGCCCATGTCCCACGAGTGAATAAATAAAAGTCCTGACAGAGACTAGGCCTCGAGAAGTAATTTACTGGCTGAAAAGCACTTTGGGTGACCTGAGGTTGTGAAAGGTGCTACGTAAATGCAGATCTTTCTTTATATACGGAGACATTTTGAAAGCAAAATTGATGGCGGTCATTCTGAAAACCACATGGGTGCTGTCAGAAAAGCTGAATCCTTTCCCTCCATCCATGTAATGTACCCAAAAGGAATGGCCAACATGCATTATATTCCAGAATTGACACATCATGTTTGTGAAATAGTCAGGAAGCTGGCACATTGTGGTGCAACCCCCATACAATAGGTAACTGGGCTGCTTAAAACAGGTCTTGTGCATTGATACTATCCATAGAATCCCTACAGTGTGGAAAGAGACCATTTGGCCCATCAAGTCCACACTGACCCTCCAAAGAGCATCCCACCCAGAACCCCCTAAGCTATCCCTGTAACCTTGTGTTTCCTATGGCTGACCCACCTAACCTGCACGTCCCTGGACACTGTGGGCAATTTAGCACGGCCCATCCACCTAACCTGCACATCTCTGAACTGTGGGACGAAACCCACGCAGACTCGGGGAGAACATGCAAACTCTACACAGACAGTAGCCCAAGTGGGATCAAACCCAGGCCCCTGGCACCGTGAAGCAGCAGTGCTAACCCCTGAGCCACCGTCTCCAATCTCAGGGCAGATTCTTGGTCTGAAACCTTCGACCTTGTTGAAACGGCTAGACTAAGTATTACTGGGTTACCAGTTTGTAGATTTTTTTTCCCCCTGTATCATGTATCAATCCTTTCAGAGATGGAGTGGACTTGAACCTGGGCCTGCTGGCCCAGAGGAGGGAACAATACCAATAAACCACAACAGCACCCCAACCCTGACTTCACCCTCCATATACCAGAGATCTACATATTATTATGATCCATGAGGTGGCAAACCCAAAATATCAAAATCCCAAAGTATAGCAGCAAGTCTACTCATGAGCTGACTAACCTTGACCCAGACAGGTTTGATAGCAGCCTCAAAGACTGAAGGATGATGCCCTTCCTGGTGTTGACACTCCTCGTAAATGTGGCC